TTTGCTTCGTGTTATGCTTTGAGATGATGGACGCAGTACATGATATTGTATGGAAGGGGATGGGATTTAATTTCAATTGCATTATACACAGTGTGTTACACACATTCAGAGAAATACAAAGATATAATACTTTTTCAGAAGTCAAACAACAAAAATCAGCGTTATATTTACCAAATTTTCACAGGACTAGTTTCGATGGTTTTACCGAACCACCATGTTCAGCTGCAAAACCGCAAAAAATATAATACTTTTTTCATTATACGAATATTTTAATGAACTGGGATTTTTTAAAATTTTATTTTAGGTATCGGAGCGATTTTAGATCTCCCATATAAAGAACAAAGAAGGTTCTCCTTACACATGCTTCGTGATCTTGGCTTCGGTAAAACTCGCATGGAGGAACACATGAAAGTAAAATTTTCTTTTTTCCTATTATCCTTTTATTACGTTTCAAGACTCAGTTAAAGTAAAATATTTCCCTAGTGTTAAATTCAGTATTTCTGGACGAAATTAAATTTTCTATTATACAGTCTTCAAAGCGTTTCTATAATGAACTTATAAAACAAGTAAATGATATTACATACTACAAAGTTAAAGGATGTATTGTACAAAGCTATAGATTCCTGAAATTAAAACTATAAGAGGCCATGGATTTTGGGTCTGCTCATAAAAAAAAGTATTGCAATGCACAGGATTTATTAGTTGTGTTTATAAAAATATTTATTCTGATATCTGTATTCATAAACATTTCGTTATCCAAAACCAAATTATTGAAGAAAGTAGGCAAGAAGAGTAACATTTCAGAGTAACAAAGTAACACATGTAATATGCCCGCAAGACTCGTGATCGTTGTTAACGCAGTGGAAAAATATGCTTCCAACATTCGTGCGATTCGAGAAGGTGAACATTTATTGTATTTATTCCAATGAAAAATAAACCTCTTTTTACAGTAAAAGGAATTCCGATTTTTAGTTTTCAAATATAAAGCGGACACTATGCGACCTCCTCGTACGGCCTATTAAATTATACTATTATTATTATTTATAAGAAAATAGGAGAAATTTCCAACATAAAAAAGACTTTTTTACAAATTAGCACAAATTAGGGTTAACAAGAAGGATAGTGATTACCCTATACTTCTCTGGTGGCAAGATTTTGAGGGGAATGAGATGCGAGTGTTTCGTTACTGTCGTATTGTGTTTGGAGTAAAGTGTAGTCCCTTCCTTTTAGGTGCAATAATTGATTTTCATCTGAAAAAGCACCAATCACTTCTTAGAGATATACCCAAGCAGCTCAAGTCTTCATTTTATATAGACAATTGCATTACGACTGTAAATTCAGAAGAAGTATTGCATCCGTTTGTAAAATCAGCCAAACAGTTAATGAGTGAAGTAAATTTCGAGATGAGACGTTGAAAGTATACTCGAGATAAGAAATTTAAAAACAATGATATTAAATCAGATCCAATATAAGTGTTGGGATTATTTTGGGATAAACTTTAAGACATGTTACTAATTCAGAAGTCAAACAACAAAAGTCAGCGTTATATTTTCAAAATTTCACAGGACTAGTTTCGATGGTTTTACCGAACCACCATCGTCAGCTGCAAAAGCGCAAATGAACGAGATGGGATATAATTATCACATAAGATAAGACCTGCTGTTTTGTAATGTAAGTGAGATTGGGTATTCAGATTATAAGGTATTTATTCCGCCTTCCAAGCGTGCCTTCGTGGTGTAGTTGTTCTGAACGCTGGACCGGGCTATTCCAGAGGTCTGTGGTTCGATTCCCGGCGAAGGCGATTGCTCATTTTTCACCGGTAACCGTTGTATCAAAACAATTGTTACAAAAAAGTCGGAATGTAAAGTTAAGCTAGGATTCTGAAATGCCTGCGGACATGTAGAGAAAATTCTTAAAATAGCTGAAAGAATTGCCATTATTATCTTTATTTAAAATAACTAGAAATATTATGCTGAATAATTGCACCTTGCGTATTTTACATACATTTAGCAATGTCTCTAATTTTTCTTATGCTACCGTAGTTTTTTTATGATATAAGAATAGAAAGAGAGATTCGGTACAACTACTTCAATCCAAACCACATGTCTCTCCATTGAAGAAAGCAACAATTCCGAGGCTACAGTCATTTGCTTGCTGCACTGGAGCACGCTAACTTCATTCATCAAGAAACGTTTAGTTGAATGATATCAGAGAATGTTTTGGATTGAATTTTCCACTGAATTATGCTGGAAAAAATTAGAAGACCAGTGGGAAGTTTTTGTGAGGAAAAAAGTGTAAGAAATTTACAGCTAAATAAAGACAGATAATTGGAAGCATGTATCTGGCCGTTAAAATACGGCAAATCATCTCTGCAGAGGTTGTTTAGCAGCCAAACTTAAGGAATCCCGATGATGGGAGGGCTCTTTTTGGTTAAAAGTCTTTACTTTAAAAGAAATTTTAAGTTGAGAGTCTCTTTAGGTGTTTGAAAATAAAGAAGTCATCTTACGAGTTAAAGCAAAATAAACTGAGACTAAACAGAGCAGTTACTTGTATCTTTCATATCGGTTTAAACTCTTCAAGCTCGAAACCTAGAGAAACAGTGATTTAAACTTGGGTGAGTCCCAGGTCCCATTGCAAGAGCTGAACCGAGTAATGAGCAATAAAGAAACTAGAAAATTGCCAATATTTAAATTAAAAATATATTTGAGATTGCTAATTCTTTTAATCTTTTTCCTTAGGGCAAGTTAAATTTGCAACTGCAACATGTGGCATATTTTTTGACAAAAGGTTTTGGAAAGTATTCAGTTGTCTAAACAAAAAGGATGATCCCTTTATCTTTTCATGAAAAACTCATCACAAGTATTGAGCATGTCTTTAACATCCTAAAATGCTTTTCAAAATTTTTATTCATTTATAAATAGAAATAAATCTATGAGATTGAATTTATTGACATCCCTGCAAGATTTACTCGCATTTAATTTCTGAGACTTTTCAGATTGCTATAGTAAAATATCTTAAAGTAATCAAGGTAAATTTCACATAACAAATTATTCTGAAGACGATAATAACATTCTACCATTTTACTTATAAACTTCAAAGGCGTTTGCGTTAAGAATTTTAAGTGTGGAATGTATAAAGTAGTGATTTCAAACTCGTAAGCCATATGCGACCTCTGAAGCAGTTTTATACCGCCCTTGAGTACATTGCGACTATGCATTTGTTGCCAAGACGGCGCTTATAGTAGTTTGAGAGATATAAAGGTATGGGCTGAACTTCTGCGCGCGAATGTTATTGAAAGAAAACGTGATAAAATGAGCAAATTGGGCTTTGTCTGTATGCTTGTGCACCAGACACCGTGATTCTGTGAGGTGTGAGCTTTTCTCACGTTGATACAATCGGTTTAGTTTAGTTTGCCTGCCGTTAGTGAAGCATCAGAATTTTGAAATTTACTCTTTTTCACTTAAAGTACGTAACTTATCGATTAATTCAACATCTCATAATTAACTGAAATAAATGTCAGTCTGAAATTTAATATTTACCTGCAAATATATTTGAATTTGAAAGGATAACCAGTAGATATTTCTTACAGGTACCAATCTTCAAATTTCAGATAGAAAATAAATATAAATTTAATTTGGTACTTTTCCGTTTGGCCGGCGCAAATCTCGCCAAGCAGACTTTATTGGCGACAACATACAGTATACACATAAAAAATATTTAAAAAAATGTTAGTTCTAAGAATTCTTTTTTTGAAGGCATAAACATTTTAATATCGCTTAAAATTTTATAAAAAGCCAATAAATAAAGACAGTAAATTTGTAAAAAGACATTAATTTAAGAATTTACTATGCTTTCATGGTTCAACATCTTGATTCGCCGGTTCATATCACGTGACCCCAAGCGATCTCATCTCACGTAAACTACTCTACAAAAATTTAATGCTAGTAATTATCTACATTAATTTCAAGTTAAATCTTAATTTGGAACACAAGTTTAAATGCAAGAAATATTTCAATTCGTACGAATAGCTTACTCAGAAATTATGTAAAGCTGCAGTGCTTTACTTCGCTAATGCATTCTCATTAGAATTGATGAATTTAACCCTTGACTTACATTTTCTATATTTTCGGCTTCGGGTAAGCGCTGTGATTGCATCCTGATTGACTTAATTACCGAAAATGGCCTTAGACATAAAACTTAACTATCTGATAAAAATTCTATGTAATTATAACCACTACTGAAATAAACAATCAATCTGATAAGAAAAAGCTGCGACTTGTTTTGAAAATGAGGCGTAAAAGGTTACCAGCGAGAATATTCCGTTTGGCATCGGTTGTACCATTATTGGCGACTTTATCGCTTGCGCCGGCAAAACGGAAAAGTACCTTTAATTTTTTTTATCTTTCTGTTATTTATGTTATTGTTTATACATGTTTTAATAAATATTAAGCGAAATTTAAAATGTGTAAATATTTTTCTTTATTGAAAATGTTTTCAAATTTTGTTAAAATAATATTCTGGTTCGTTAGCTGCTTTCAGATCGAACATTCGGCCTGTAAGCAATTTGAGCTTGAGACCACGAATGTATGGAATATAATATGAAATGTAGTTATAAACGTATACCATTCGGAAAAAGAGCAAAATTATGTTGACGAATAAATGAAGATATTCAAACTTTCTGCTTAATGTAAGACGCGGTTGATCAGTTGTGATACTGCAAACTAACATCATATTATTATTATAAATATTATTAATACCAGCAACCTTAATAGCAGCAACAATAGAAGTATTAGCAGTAATATTAGTGGTAGTGATAGTAGCTAGTAGTAGTTGCAGTACAATAATATGGAATGCTGAATTGAAACTCACTCCAAATAATGTGAAGTTTGTGAGTTTTTTTAACATTAAATAGACTAAGCATTGTTGCACGTATGAAAATTTATTACAAGCTTGTGCTAAAATAAAATAACTTATTGATTTATAGTAAAGATTTAAATCTGATCCAGACAAACGGACTAAATATTCTTATAATTTTAAAAAACAATATGTAATATAAAAATATTTAAAATTTCTCAATTTCATTTCTCTCTTTAAAGATTTGAAAAAGCATTTAATGAGTATTAATCTTCTGCAGGACGAGATCCTAGAGCTGCTCCAAAGTATACAAGACCATCATGAATCTCCTATTGCAGTTACAGAGCTGTTAACTGCAAGTATGTCAAATAACATTTCGTCGCTTATATTTGGTAAAAGACTAAAAGCCGACAATCCTAAGAGGCAAAAACTAGATAAGCTGGTGAACGAAATCGGCCGACTTGGTGAAGCTCTTTCCTGGCAGGCGTTTTTCCCTTGGATCAGAGCCTTCATGTCATTCTGTAATATCGGCGACAGAGGAAAGCTATCAAAAGCTAATTCAGAATTAAGGAACTTTTGCAGGTATGTGATAATATTAAGTAAAGACAACGAATAAGTTTTTGAATAGATCTCCTAATACATATTCCCTGATGTGAGTGCATTTGAAAATTTTAAGATAATTATTTCATTTGTCAGATACCTAAAATATTCATTGCTGCAGTCATTCATTTGCAATAAAATGACCTTAAAATTCAAAATAAAATATGTAAATGCGCTCGAGAACCTCATGGGAATTTTAATCAATCTAATCATAAAATTCTTAACTAATCCTTTGGTCAAAAACAAATAAGTAGCGCGAGACTTATTAAATTTGCACTTAAAATATTTCATGCCTTCTTTCCCTGTCATAATTTGATATTTTTTACCTTCATTTCTTATTTCCCATAGTTGTTATAAATACAATCATAAAATTCATTCATTCGTTTTGTTCTTGCGAATGCTTTTATTAACTCCTTCATCATCTGATCACAAAACATTGCCGTCTGTTTTTCATAACTCGGAATCTCAAAAGATTTTGTACAAAATTTCCTAATTTCTTATTTTGTACAAAATTTCTTAAATTTCTTTCTTTCTTTCCTTGGCAGTTAACTTTTTTATTCCTCACAGACTGCAGCAGAACTTTCCATTGTACAACATTCTGCTAGTTTTCTGTACAGTCTCGCATTTCACGAGAGTCGTAGATTGTTGGTCAGCATATTGTTAGGAATTTTATGTATATTTTTGCTTGCGTGCGGGTTTGTAGTGGATTGAATGCACAAAGGAAACATTATATTTACTTCGAACGTCCAATCCGAGTATGCAGGGATCGGTAATATCTGCCACATATGTCGTGTGATAATAGGCGGCACTTCCAAACATGATATTTACATTTAACTTCCCTTCGGGTTCGATTTGATCACCAGACACATTCTGGAGGGTAATACAGGATGGCGTCCAAACGAGTTCATGTTTAAACTATTGAGCTAAATCTTTCTGAATGGTTGTAACATTGGCTCCTTCTTTGACATCCGCAATTCGTAGAGCCTTTTTTATTTCAGGATCACGGATGCCATTGATGTATTGTAAGGAGAGAATTTCACTTGTTTCTGTCGGAAACGCTGAAAAGGCGAGGTAAGCCAGTCTTTCAACATCCGTGGCGAACTCCTGGAGTGTTTGCGTGAGCTTCGGTTGACGGGATTTTAATAAGTCTTTTAAACATTTCTCCCCAAAGCACGGGATAGGGTTTCGAAGCCTAACCTTCGGTTTTCGTGAAGGGTTTAAAAGATATCCACTGCGTCTGCTCACACAGAAGCGACAAGATGACAGGCCTTAGCTTGGGAATCCCATCCATTTGCTTCCTCCACTACAGAAATTGAGTCTTATACACTTGCCAGCAGGTCTTACCATCATATATTGATGATAGTTTCAAAGACGGACAAGCAGGCACGTGTAAAAATTTAAAACCCTCAGAATTACTTCATGCTGTCGCTATGTAGTTTTTTAAGGTATCAAATTCTTTGGCGACTGCAGCAGAAACTCTGTCATCGATTCATTGTTGGACGGCAAAAACTCTTCGTTTCTCCATAGCAGAAACTTTCTCTTCTATTTGGTTTTTGACAGAAGAAACTCTTTCTTCAATATGCCTAGCTTTATTTTCAACTGAGTCAATTCTGCCTTCCGTAACCTCAAATTTGTTTTCTATTATACAGGAAATTTCTCTTTTCATTTCCTTTTGGCCTGCTTTAATCTTTTTCTTGAACAGCTTACATCTTTCTTTAACGGAGTCATTACCACTCCCGTCTTTTTTTAACGGATTCTTCTCCTGCTTTCATCTCTTCTTCTTTAATGGAGTTGAAGTCCCCTTCCATCTTTACTTGTAATGTAGCATATGCAGTTACAAGCTGTCTTAGTTGCTTATCAGTCGCTCGTGTCACTGGCATTCAACCCTAATTCTGACACGAAAACTTTTGCTTGCGTACGGGTTCGTAATAGATTGAATGCCGATGATATGTTAACAAAATTTATTTTTATAAAAAGAAAAATTCAAAGCTCTGAAGTTTCCTACAGAATTACTCGTACAGGTGCTCACAGTATCACAGAGTACAATCAGCAGTTACACTTCAAACTAACTAAGAAAGTTAAACACAATGCAATGTAAAGCGCATCTAAAGAAAACGCTAACCCGTATAAATCACATTTCATGCTGACTAACAACTCGCAAGAACAGTAAAGCTGCTTTCATACTGGTCCGTTCCGTTGGTGCGAAAAGCGGCAATGCGGAAAAAAACGCTTTCCGCGTACGTCAGTTCACACGGTAACTTTCGCTTTAAAAGTTGTCGTATGCTCGCATTAGATGGCGCTTCATATCGGAAACTTGAAAAACGTGTGGTATTTTTACTTTTTGCGATTACGTCTTAAAATTAAAATGGATTTTATTTCTGCTCGATTAAAACTTATTTAACTTCTTATATTGTGTAAGAGAAGCAGAATGCAGTGGTTTATACTAATATGTGGGAGATGACTGCAGCAAGGAGATGCAAATAATTTAATTGAAGAAATGCGCTTGAACGAAACGAGATTTCTTTTAATTACTTTCACATTAATTCGATGAATTTCTAGCCTCATTGAACTATTTATTCGAAAGCAGAACACTAATTTTTGTCAGAATATCGCAGAAAATAATCGTTTGTAAGATAGGAATAGCATACCCCAGAAAAGGATCGTTGTATATATCAAACGCTGTATATATCTAATTTAATTTATTTACGAATTTTCTTGAATGATAATTAAAAAAATCCTAATTGCATGATTCGCTTTTGAAGAGTAAATGTTTCATGGGTAGAATACCATAAATGCTTTTGCATGGTGTATGAACTTCCCTTAAATGCTTCCTCAAATAAACTACCCTGATTTGGTTTAAATAATGCAATGAAAAAGTATATTTTGCTTAAATATATATAGCATTTACATCATTACTAAATTAAATCTCACACTTAAAAAAAGCAGTTATTAAGTTAATAAACAACACGAATTTAAAAAATATTTTAGTTTCTGCCTTATATACATATTTTTTAGCTTGAATGTAACAATAATTACTTCAATTAGTCATTCATATATTAATGAATAGCCACTATCTAAAGGTCTATTATATAAAGTCACTTTTATCTAAAACTCATTGAAGTAAGTTTATATAATACTTTATTTTTTCTGAAATTAAACTTAAAAAAATTGAAATTGCGTTAAATATTGAACTCCACAATTAGCAAATTTCCTAATGCGCATGCAAAAGTTCTTTAAATTAATGAAATATTATCATCAAGATTAGACCTTTCGAAAAGTGGTCATGCATGCTAAGAATAAAAACAAAACAAGAAGCCATTAAAATGCGTAGAAGTACTCCATAAAATCAGCTACATACTAGCGAGCTTCTTTTCTGTATAAATAACAGTTTCCTTAAATTTTTTAACAAATGGTTTACTCGTCACCACTCATTTAAAACTCAGAACTCACTAAATTTTTTAATTATACGAAACAGCAATTTTATACTAAAACCGGTATCGCTTTTGCTAGTCTCCGGTCAGCCGAGATAGAATCAGATCATAGTAGTCACACAGGCTCGTTGTCAAAAGAAGGATAATGCACACATTGCCCAGCGAAAATTAAGTTTATATGAATGATGAATGAAATGGAACGAAAAATAAATGCAAGCTTCTTGTGTCTCGCCCCCCCCAAAAAAGTCGCGGTAGATAAAAAAAAAAAATGGTCTATTCGTACCATCATCAAAGGTAGGAAATAGCAAGGCAATACCCGCAATACAGTTTCCCTGAATTTTCTACATAAGCGTGTTACCTCCCCGCTAAGGTATCTTGCGTATAAACATGCTTTTCACACTTCAACTTCAGGAAACTGAAGAAGCATCTGAGCTACTCTGAAACTAGCGATAATATTTTCTTTAAATACATTTATGTCCATAAATTAAGGATAATGCAAAATCAGGCAAAGGAAGAGTTAGAAGCAAAACAAATTTGACTTATTTGTAAAGTTTATTTATTAAACAAAAGGTAAAGAGCAAAAAAAGATGCTATATGTTTGATATTATTAAAACAATTAGCGATTTTTTCTCCCTGGGAGCAAATTACAAAAAAAAAAAAAAAAAAAAAAAAAAAAAAACCTATTTATAAAAAATCAATATTACATGGTTGGTATGATTGTTAATACATTGTATGTCTCCCAGACGATGCAATACAGTCCATACAATGTCTAGGCATGCTGAGTATCAAATTATCGATCTGTTCTTGGGGGATATTACACCACTCAAAAAGAAATGCTCTCCGAAGTTCCGGTAGACATGTAGGAGGAGGTTGACTGGCTGCAACTCGTCGGCCAAGCATGTCCCACACGTGCTCTACTGGATTCAAGACCGGTGAGAAGGCTGACCAGTCCATACGGGTGATATCCTCCAATTGAAGACATTCGCTTACGATGTTTGCACGGTGAGGAAGGGCGTTGTCATTAATAAACACAAATTGTGCAGCCATGGCGCCCCGAAACAAACGTACATGTTGTTCCAGAATGACGTCCCGATAGATTTGGCTTGTCATGGTTCCAATTTGAACATGCAGGTCAGTTCTGGAACCCAGAATAATTCCACCCCAAACGAGCACTCCTGCACCACCGTAACGGTGTCGTTCAATGACTGATAAGTCATTCACTGATTCACTGATAAGTCATAATTTTCATAAAATACAATATAATAAAAGAGAGAAGTAACATGATAAAATGATGCAAGTAACAGTCTAGAATATCTATGTACAAATATACAAATCTTGAGTATAATAATTTCAGCTGTAAATATGTACACAAAAAGTCACATAGGAGTCACCGTCCTAAGTGCTGTCTGTCTCTACTGAGTGCCGCTTAACTTTGAAGTATCGCTGTGTTGTAAGTATGTGACTGCAAATTTAATGCACAGACTAATTAGTTGGGAAAGTTCTAAATTGCATTTAAGGTAAAGGCAACTTACGGTGCTAAAAAACGATCCT